CTGACCAAAACAGGGACTACAAGAGTTAGTGCATACTAATTAACATGCTTAATTGAGTGAAAGTAACCTATCATAATGTCGTATAAAATTGGAGGTAACAACTTACTTTTAGCCTTTTATCTTAATAAATTTGTAAGTTTTAACCCATCACCTTATACTATGATATTTTTAGCTCTTCACCTTATACTATGACACTTTTAGCTCTTCACCTATACGAATTGAAAAAAATAACTCTTACTCAACATCAAGTTATAACGTTTTATTAGTTTTGTTAGTTAATTGTTAGTTTTGTTAGCTGATTATTAGTTCTGTTAATTGATTATTAATTCTGACCGTTAACTCTATTGCCTGATTGTTACCATTTCGTTAATGGAACTAATAAATAAAATTGAATTTAAATTTTATATATTCTATAATGAAATAACAGTCAACTAACAGAACTAACAGTCAGCTAACAGGATATTAAATAAAGGTTGTTTTCTTCAATTCATATAAGGGAGGACTAAAAGTGTTATAATATAAGGTGATGTGTTAAAATTTATAAATTTATTAAGGTAAATGGTTAAAAATAAATATTTACCTAAAATTGGAAGACTATACTAGAGTTGCATTTACTTATAGATGCACGGTTCCATGTAGTCATCTTTTTGGGTCTTTGTAACCTAATTAATTTCATTTTCATTGAATGAATTAGCATTCTTATTATCTAAAAGTAAGATACGCTCGTTAGACTAGGTAAAGATCTTGTCTCCAAATTATATTCGTGCTTGTGTTGAAAATGATGGATACTAACTCTGCTCTTACAATAAACTGCCAAAGGCAGAATGTCACATTCCGAATAGCATTATACCAGAGTGCTTTCTCTCGAAGCATCAGCATCTAATTCAACATACGAATGGAATACTGGTTGGAATGATAGAGAATTAAAACAAATGATTTAAAGTATATTTGGATTAGCAGTTCAATTGTAACGAATAGTGAATTGATGCTAACTAAATAAAAAATAACTTTTTTATTGTTTATATATCTCAATATTCTTATTAGTCTGATTAATTTAAATCATTAATTATCAACTTTAAATTTTTATATTAAACACCTTTTAAATAGGGACAGTTCATTGCTGCAATGGCTTGTTCTAATCATTATCCCCAGGACCTTAAAATTTAAATTGAACCACATTATTTTGTGCTTTCCACCATTGGAATTGACAGCATACCATCAACTTTATTCCCCCTTAATTTTCAGATTAAATGACATCCCAAGGCCTGTTGCATTAAATTAAAACCCAATAGTTTCCATTAGCCTATGTATGGTACGTTGGTGCCTCCTGATTGCAAAGACCAAACTTCATTATTTTTAGTTCAGGCAATTTAAGTTCTTTGAATGCAAAAGCTCCTTTCAATCGCCTCCTCCCTCTTCTAAAGTTTTCAATTTAGATCCATGCTCCTTTCTACACCACATCAGTAAGGACAGTGCTTTGTGCCTGATATTGGCCTACACTTTTATATGAACATTTAAAATATGCTTAACTTTTAAATTTGCCTTTTCCAAATATGATGTTAGGACATATTTACTATTAAACTAAATGTAGGGATAAATCATTTATAAATTTATCATTTTTTAATATAATTCATTATTTAACTTGTGATATCATTATACATTAATACTCCTTAAATAATAAATTTTCACAAAAGCAAAATTAACAAATGATGTTGTCACATGTTAAATAATCAATTATAAATCTATAACAATAAATTTAAAAAGAATTTTTCTCTATATTTAATTTAAAGATAAATTTACCTCTACACTCACATTTAAAGGGCAAATTTGGGATTCTGACTTTTAAAATGATAACATTTTTATCATCCTAAAAAGATAGATCAAATCCCAAGTCAACAGAACTCCACCAAGCGGCTCATGGCTGCACATCTTATTGAGGTAAGTAGACTGTTCATCAAATTTGAGAATCGAATCTCCAATTACTAATATCTAACAATACTAACCTATTAACTATTACTCTTATAAAAAAAAAAAAAAAAATCCCAAGTCAACGGAAAGAGGCTGGGTGGAATCGACATGGCGTGGGGCTGGAGTTAGGCTAGACTACCTTTACATGGACCTCAAGCCCAAATGTTTAAACACTAGCTATTTTAGCTTGTGACAGTGGTGAAAGTTATTTTATAAATACCAGTAGCAATGAAGAGTCTTTGGTGGCCTAATGGCAGCGCACCGTGAGGTAAAGGAATTCTCATGTAAGTCGAGATATGGGGTTCGAGCCTCAACTTTCTGCTCAAAAACAGAAAAAAAAAAAAAAAACAATAGCAATGATTTTTCAGATTCTGTGGTTGAGTATATTGATGAAAGAATGTATTGGGGTTGATGTTTATTTGGGAAGCACCTTGACAGATATATTATATGTACGGTGTTTCGTAATTTGGCCCAGGAAGTTTTTGATAGGATGCTAGAAATAAATTCAGTTTCTTGGAATGCCATGATCATTGGTTATGCAAAAGTGGAGAACTTAGTGGAAGCAAGGAAATGAGATTATAGTGATTATTGTGCTTTCTGCTTGTGTCCCTGTAGAGTTATTACTTTAGACTTTAGCCTTAGTCATGGTAGGTTCTTTGAGTTTTTCAACCACATGTACAGTTATCCCTGTTCAGCTCCTGTAGAGTTATTTCTCAGGTTTTTTCAACATACTCAATGACCAATGAAACTTGGGGAACAATTTTGTGAAGCATCCGATTTTTTATGCATTAAATATCTGTGTTGCTTATATTTCTCAGGAATTCATTTTTAGCTTCATTTTTTTTTTTTCTTGTTTGAGAGTACATCTAGCATTAAAGCCGTTAAAATAAACATGGCAAAAAATCTTTCTTCTGCTGTTCAGTATTGAGTTGGACATGGAGTGGAGCAAGACAAATTGGATAGAGATGATATTTGTATTTTTCTGTTAAATAAAATATTTAAAAATAAAAGCAACAACCATATAAGTTCTTATCCACATCCATCATATTACATGTGGCTAGACTTTGCGACCTTATGATTCTACCATATCATCCTTTTGTTTCACCATGGCATGATGAACTAATTTGTTGCATGCTACATTATGGTAAATCTATCTTCCCAATATAATCAAAGGTGATTCAACCATATGATTAGAGAATTTACAGAAAATCTATCTTTCTAACATAAAACATCAAGATTTGAGAACCTCTAGCTTATCACTAACATCTTATAGTCGCTTTAAAATGTCATATTCATCTACACAAATTATAAACCTTTGATTGGTTAATGACAAACAATTTTTCAAAAGATACTAAATTC